AAAACTTTCAGAAGTGCCTATACATTTTGGAAGTCTAAATCTGTTTTGAAATGATTTTCTGCACTAGATTCTTGTTTGACACCATCGAAATACCTGAATTAGTCTGAAGCATAAATGTTCATTAAAGGCTTTTAGGGCATTGAGTAGAGGATGTTCATAGAGTAATGTTGTGTCTGATATTAGGTGCCTGTCTTAGTACTCAGTTGGAAAAAGTAGTCTCCACTTTCTGTCTTCCAAATAGCTAACGATATGTATGCATTTATACACTATACATACATATATATATTTAAATGTATGCTTGATCCCTTTTTGCCAAGTGAATAATTTCCTCTACAGATCCTTGATTTGCCTGATATGCAATATGACTGATTTTAATTTAAAAACTTTTCTGTATGATATCTGCATGATTCTTTCATAGAACAGGCAAAAAAATCACATCTTCTGTCCTCTTCCAAAGCAACAGCATTTCAGAAATATTTTTCCAGGAGTGTTTTAGCTTCTGTAAAATTCCATAAATCATCTTCAGAATAAGTGTAAGGTGGGTTTTTTCCTTATCTTTTTAACTCAGTGGTACCTATTAATCTTAGCTGAAGGCATGTACTAAAACTGTAAGGCAACTGCCCTAGGACTCTGTCTGCACACAGCAGTAGTGAGGATTAGCTGGCTGTCTAGTACAGATCAGTTTATCCCCCTTAAAAGAAGGGCAAAAGAGTCGTTCTGAATTTATAGGCATGGAAACTTGAAAGATAAATCGCAGTACTCCATGTAGCCGTGTATTGAGACAGAGGAAGACAGTCACATTTGCTGCTCATTAGTTACAGGACTTGGAACAGATATTCCTCTCTATTTTAGGCAAGACATTACAAAATTGGTCAAGCCTGTCCTTATTGTCACTACCTTCTAATAAAACCTAAGCATGGGTGATGTCTGTGTTGGCTTGCCTGGCCCAGTGAACTAGTTTATCATAACTTTTCGTTCTTTTGGCTTGACACAAAAGAAGAGGGTGGATGAAACCCAGGATCAGATGTCTATTTTGAAGAGTCATCTGTCTTAAAGATAATTCTCCCACATTTGCTCAAGGAGATGTGCCATGCTCTTGCTATTGCATTCAACATATCTTACTGTTTATCCTCTCACTTAATTAAAAGGGTATATAGAATACCAAGTTTTGCATATTTCTAGAAGCATGGATTTTCTCATCTCCATAACTGACATGTACTGCCAAAGTGCAACAGACATTTAAAGAATGGTGGTGTTGGGCAGAAATGGCTGCAATTTCAAATGTCTACTGAGGTGGATCTTTGGGTTTGTTAGTAATCATGAGTCTATCAGGCCATATTTCAGGACAATATTTGCAGCATTTATGCTTTTTTTAAAAAAAAAAAAAACCAACAAAGAAATGGTATTATTTTACGGGTGTTATTAAACAAGCTGACAAAAGGCTACAGCCAAATAAAAATAGGCTGCTTTTTCCAGAAAAAAGTGCAATAAGACCTCATGATTGTTTTGCACCCTGTACCAAGTGAGCTTGCTTCAGAGGAATTAAGTGAACACACCCAGTCTGAAATGTGAGGCTTAATTTTCAGCTGTGAGTTATTCCTAGTTATGATCTCATTTTATGCTATGAAAGTGATCAAATAACATTAGCTCCTGAGTGTAATTTTTTTCAAAGGGTGATGCTTATTAAAGTCAAATGGAGTCCTGGCAAGACTCCAAAAAGCTGTGAAAATTTGACAGTAAAAGCATGACTTAAATGCATGAAGATTTGCATTCCAAAATCCAAAACCTTTATTCATGCTGAATGACTTGTGGCTATCTTTAGTTACATAAATCCAACACTTTACTTACCTTTAAATGTTGGTGCTTCATTTTTTCCTCTTCAACTTTTAGACGTTTCTGTGCAATTTCTTCTTGCAGTTTTCTTTTGTCCTACAAATTCAGAGAACAACAAAACTGTGTTTAGAGAAATTACTTGTGGCTAAAAGAGAAAAATTTGTTTAAGTGCTGTTCAGTAGGGTGAACTCAATCCATGCAAATAAAGCCTTATTTTAAAGCTTATATGATGCTCAAGCAGTGCGTAATTCTAGCAGCAACAGCTTGTCTGTCCTATGCAGGTACGGTTTCTGTTACTCTTTCTCTGACGTACATTTAAACATGTTAACGACCACAAAGCAGGGATGATCCAAATTAAAAATAATTTACTGTTGGGAAGGGTAGGGGGGAGAAAATAGGAAGAAATAACATTTGAGCATAATTGTACGTACAAAATGAGATTAGAAATGGGTCCTGACCAAAATTCCTAAGGCAGCCCACACATCATTTAGGAGAGCAAAGAGTTTGCAGAGTCTACGCTGTGCAGCTGTGATACATCACTAAATGAAATAGGCTGTTGGTGAATCCAGCACTGAGCTTATGTATCTTGTGGCTAATAGCTGAAATAAACAGGAATAAATAAAGGCATAGAAATTTATTTCACTAGTCATAGTGGTGAAGATGGACACAGAGAAATGTAGTATGCTTCATATATGTTCTTAAAAAAAAAAAAAATTGTCTCTGCAAAGGCTGTTTTTATGGCTGCTGAACTTTAGAAGGAAAAACCTCAAGTAGTACTGATCTAGCATAATGCCACCTTCATCCTTTTTGCTCCGGATTATAGAAAAAATGAAATGGGTGAACAGTCTCTGAATGCTGGCAACACTTGATCTTCCTGTGTCTTCATAAAGCTGCTGTCAGGTGGAGTATCCTTGTTGCTCTTCTATATGAAGCCAAACGTTGATTTAGTATTTTGTGTCCTCAGCAGCCAGTGGGAAGGAAATCATGCCAAAGGAAGCTAACTCTTACAAGCAGCATTAATAGTCTATTCTCTTTGTCAGCCTTAATACTATAAAATCCTGTTCTTGGACATGGAAACTATTGCACTTGTTTCTCAGTATGATTTAGGCAAGTAAATTTAATAATCTGTTGTCCTGTGCAGATGTGTTTGCTGATCGGAGGCTAACCCCCTTTTCCTTTCAGTTGGAACAGATTACCAATAGGTATGTTTTAACAGTCTGTTTTCAGACAAGTATGTTTTCAGGAGTTAAGTTCTTCACAAACATAGGAAGAGACTTGCCATTTCAGCTCACCTGAGCTGCATGTAAGGAGTGTAGAAAGTCAGTAAGAAGGAATTGCTGGGCATAAGACTGGGAGTTGTTCTCCATGGTTTCCCTAGGACCTGGGATTTGGAAACAGGAAAAGCCATAGTGTGCTTGGCTGAATCGCTTTGCTGTTATTAGAAATTAGCAGTGGGGCCACAGGCTATACGGACGCTTTCTTGAAGGATAAGAAATAGAAACAACCACCTAGCCTTGTGGAGATTGAGGGCAGGACTACAGGCTGGCCAAGCACAACTGATGGCATGCTGGGGGTTAGAGGTGAATGAGTGTCAGTGACGTCTTCTCTCTTGCAGTCTGTAAAGTGCGGTAGCCATCTATAAACACTATCTGTGCTTTACAGTTTTTCCTGGATGGTGTTAGTCTGCCTCTTTAATACACCGAGCAGGTAGGAATCTTGTCTCAAGATACATACTACCTTCATCTCTGTAATGGTTTTGAGTTTTGCCTATGCTCTTTAATACAGTTAACAAAGCTACTGATTTAGGATCACTACAATATGTAATTTTTCTGCAGTGTCCCTTTTTAAAGACTTTATCCAAGAGGTGCTATGCTGGATTTTACTTAGCCAGTCCTGACTTTGGAGACATAACATCTGGTCTTTGACCTTCACACCTTTCCTTAATTAGGAAGAAATAATTTCCTGATCTCATTGTATAAATGGCCTTTAAATAACCCATCATTAGATGAGCAAAGTGCAAGAAGAGCTTGCGTTTACAGATTGTTACAATTTTGAGGAAACTGCTTTTTTTCTTTACTGAAGTTCTAGATAAGGTTCTTAACGAGAAAATGAACTTTTACTTAGATTATACTATTAAAAATATTCTAAGTAAATTTAAATATTTTCCTACCGGTGGAGATGTGCACTAAGACTTTGGGCAGTCTGAAATGAGAAGTGGTACACAAAAATACTGTGCAGAAACAAATAAGTGTAAAGGCACAAATAACTACATTTTAAATTAACTGTGTAATAAGGAACTTATTCAGTAATGAAAATTTTGCCTGTTTCTCTTGTTAGAGGTCTAGAGAGATTTCTTTTGTACCCTGTTTTTTTTTCTCTTAAAGTTTTCTACTTGTATCCCTTGGTGTTCTAGAATGTTTTCATTTCACTGGTTGGTAATAAACATCCATTATACAATTATCCAGATTAAATAGGTTGAAGTAGATTGTCTTTTATATATCTAGTCAAAGCAAGCTGAAGGTCTAATGCCAGAAGCTAAATTCAAGGAAGACATATGAGGAACCATTTTGAACCTTGTGTTGTCAGAATAATTGTCAAAACCTGTTAGGGCACTTCCTACAGTGTATTCTGCTATGCTTTGTCTTCAAATCATGTCTTGCCGTACAAAGTTTTGACTATACATGTAATGGAATAAGTCTTTATTCCTAGATAGTTAACAGATCCATGCTTCTACTAAACTTCATGCTTTGCCCCTGTAGATAATCGGGTTGCTGGCAGAAGTCCTCTAATCCTCTCTTACTATGCTCTTGTTAATGTAAGCAAGATTTGCTTTTTGTGAAAGAACACCTTCTTCCCTTCCTCTCTATTGTGCATCAGTGCAAGGTGAGACTTGAGCCTTGGTCCTAATTTTACTTTTACTGAAACATATAGGAATCTTTCCTGACTCTTGAGCCTAGAAAAGAATTGTGTTCTAAATTGGATTTATCTGAAAGGAAGGGAAATGCATTTACAGAGCAGTGTCTTGCGATGTACCCTATGTGCCAAGTCCGTTAGTTTGTGTCAGCATTCCACAGTGGTGCCAGTGTTGGTCTGCTTGCTCCCATGGCAGATGCCGAGTACTATCAAGGCCTATGGAGCAGCTAATGTTTTAGCTGAAGTATTTTTGTTTTCATGTAATTTTCCAGATGTAATGCTTGGCTATTGAGTGGTCTTATTGAGAGGTATGGACACTTTAGTCTGATGGCACAAGATTGCAGAAATAATTCAAATCTTTAATCGTAATTCAAATCTTCTGTCACTTTTGTTTTCCCATAGAATGGAAGATTTGATGACAAAGGATTAAGCCTAAGGTTCCTCTTTGACTGTTTTCTCTCAACATGTTTACCACAGCAAACACTAAAGTTTTTGTATTTTAAGATATGACAGTCTCTCTAACAAAATGGATGCATCTTATTTTTTACTTATTCTATTCTATGTATACCAGCAGCAGGTGGAAGCTATATAACAGAGAAAACCAGTTCCTCTTCAGAGCCATGGGAGCATCAAAACATTATGATAATAACAGGGTCTTCCCTTTTGCTTTGCTATATAGAGAAGATACGAAAAAGAATTTGAAAACCCATAGTGGCTCTGAGAGCACCAGATGCTGTAAAGGAGCCAGGCACCAACAACAGAAGCCAATTGGGTTTTAGTGCAAGTGTAGTTGTTTACTGCTCTGAGCACCTGAGTGCACCTTGCTGTCCTCTGTTAGATCCTTTACAACATATATCTTGTAGGTAGCTCTTGAAATTCCTAGGTATGTTGCTTGGGACAAACCTTCCCAGAGCCACTGAGTCACTCGCAATTGTAATGTGTTTGTTTTCTTAGACAACTCATATTGCAGATTCTTAAACCTGATGATAACTTTACCTTATTTAGCCTCCTTCATTTCTGCAGTGCAGTATAACAAACACACTGAGTGTTTTAATTAAATGCTCTCAATTGATGAAAGTAGAGAGCAAATAGTTCCTTTACACAGAAAGCGTCATAAATGAAGTCATGGCCAGAACCCAAATATGATTACCTATTTCCTGTAATGCAAGAAGCTGGAAGCTGTCACAGTTTCTTAAAATACTTCTCCAGTATTTGTCTGGAGGCAAAGATGCAGCCAGAGGACGCTAACCCTAGGACGTTCATAAGAGTCCTCATTGAACAAGCGTACTGCCCCGTTCCTCCTGCCAGGTACCAGGAAGTATAAAACATAGCAAGGCCCGGACTCCTCTGCAGCGCCAAAATATTTCTTATCTTTTGAGCCCATACACTAGAGACAAAGTCCAGGTTATGAGTCTGGTTCAAACACCATGACAGTTAGAGAAACAAATATACTCTACACCCTCTAAAACATTTCGTATTACCTTATTGTGGGCTTAAGTCAGGTCTCAAGTAAATAGGATAAATGGGCTTGTTGGCTTTTATCAAGTGTCATAATTAAACCCCAACCTATTCAACTCCTGTAGCTTTCCAGTAATGTCTTCTCATGTTTAATTTGGTTCCAATAAGGTATTTTTAATTCTGCCCACCATTTATTCAACCAGTAGTGTTCTCACAACTAATCTGTCATGCTAAGTGTGTGAAACATACCTTTGTTCCCATTATTTATTTTTAAAGATTGCCTGTGAGTGATCCTTCTGCAGCTTTCATCCCAAAGGGCCAAATTTTGTTTCAGTTTAAATCTTTTGAGATTGAGTAGGTTTCAGTGGAATCAAATCAGATGAGAATTTGGATTCAGACGTTTTCGTTACATCAGGTTATAGATCTTTAAAAAATAACTCAGTGCTTTCTTTAAAACACAATAAATCTTTTGAATCAAATGTCCCTTTAGAAGAGAAACTGAAAATGTTTTCTGATGTCTTCAGCATAAACTTTATGAAGTCTTTTTTTTTTTCTTTCCCCTCCCCTCCCCTCTGAAAACTGACAGGTAGGGCTTTGCTTAATCCAAGCTTGTCCTTTTTTACTGTTCAGATAGAAATATTTATTTTGATCATTAATAAATCAGAAACTGTATTTGATTCTACAATGCACAACTAAAAATCTTTCATCTCTCTGTTTTGCTGTGAAACGGGAAAATTATCTATTTGTTCTGGAATTCTCTAGCTGCCTTTTGACCTGCTGTCCTTCAGGCAAACATTCAGTTGTGATGATAGTAATATGCATTTTAGACTGTCCAGTAGTGATTTGCACACATACTTTCACTGCTTTGAATTTAATTTGAAAGTGCAATACAACCCATAATAAAGTCAGTACAGGTAAATTTAATGTCTTTAAAGCAATAGCTTATAAACCAGAATTAAAAAATAACAATATCAAGCAGACATAAGTCTCTTTCTTTTTCTGTCCTGGGATAAATCATTCTTCAGAAAGCACACAGTAGCTCATTAATACAATACTACTTCTAAGCCTTTGGTTTTTTGTTTTTAATAGCAAGTTATAACTATAAGCACTTACTGTTATAGCCTGGAATCTTTCTTTCAGCAATTCAGTTTCCTCCATTCTAGAAATCAAAAACAAACAAGTAGTGAAGGAAAATAGAGTGAGACCATAAGCAGAAAGCCTCCTGGTGGGGCTACAAAAAAGGCAGAGGTGATTTGATCCAATTCCTGAGCAGCGAAAAGGCAGAATTTTTGACTTGTCAGGAGAGTCCCCGAACAGATGAGCAGATCGGCCCAGACAGACACATGTAATGAGGGTGTGTAGAAGAGGCAGACGTGGAGAGCGCTGGCATGAGCTGACTGACAAGTTGGAACAGTGGAGCACAAGCCCTTTTCCTTCAGAAGCTGCCAACTCTTTGTTTTAATGTGCTCAGTTAGCATGCCACTGCTGCTTTAACTGTTAAATGCCCAAACCAGAATTTTTCAGGACCATGGTAGAAGTAAACTTTTATTATTTTCCTATTCCTCTTTCTTCCCTTTGTGTATTCTTCTGGTGATAAACAGATATTTTAAACTTAGTAAGTATTCCTATTTCTTATGAAACTTATTTCACCTGTGCGTTTTAAACTGTTGCAATATTAGTCCTGTAGATGGCATGGGTTTTTTTGAGATGGCAGTTTTAGTTTCCTAGATGAAATTTTTAGAGAAGCTGTATTCGTAGCTGGAAGAATGCTTTAGAACTGCTAACCTAAAGTAAAATAAACTTTAAGCAATCAGGTCTGTCATTGAATGCAAGTGTTAATCTGTGCAATTACTGGTCAGCTATCTAGGACTCAGGGGAAGCTTTGTCTAAGTAAGGATTTCAGGATCATCATTTCAGCATTACCAAGACGAGTCTAAAATGCCAGCGGCTCTCATGCTGGATTTCCATTCAGCTGACTTGAAGGGGTTTTTTTTGCTGTAGATTTCTGCTGAAAACAGCGTTATGCTCCTCAAGAGATGTCGTACATTTTGACCTTTCCGGTTACAAGAGTGGGAGTCATCCTTCCAAAATCAATGTTAGGAAATTTGCAAAACAAGTGGCACTGTCTCTAGTAAAATCCAGTTGTGGAAAAAATTCTAAAGTGAGATAAAGCTGAATTCAAACAGCATAAAGATGTAGTGTGAATCTGGAATCCCTTTGTGACCCTTGGTATCATGTAACTTAAGTAAGGACGCCGACAGGAGAGTCAGTCAGCGTGTTTTGGTTTTTTCCTGCTAATTCACTGAGATGACTAAACTCAGCAGGATTTGGTGAGGGGTTTTACTTTGCATGTCAGTACAGTGACCTGAATCTTGGTGGCAAATTCTAAGGTGTTTGAGAATTGAACACCTGATGGTGAAGTTACATCCTCATAATTCAATATGAATCAATATTTAATTTCAATTTCCACCTTTCTAGTATGTCATGATTCATCCATATACACAAGCAGACTACCCCCCTCCACACTGGGATTAAGGATACGTTAATGTTTTGTTTATACTATGATCCACCCTGAGGTTTTGTTCAAACTTGCAAAGACCCCATGTTTTATTCTCAAGTGAAGATTTTTTTTTTAAATATTAATATATGCCTCATTTGTTCAGCACCCGAAATTAAAAAAATTACCACATAAAAGCAAATGTGAAGTTCAAAGGCAAGTGTACTGAGGTATATCAAGAGACAGATTACATGGGAATTTAAATACGTTCAGTTTATGGATTTGAGAATATGTTCAACCACCCCACTGAATTAAATATATTCTTGTTGCAGAAGCCAATAGAGACACAGTCTTTCTGTTTAATCTTTCATAAGTTAGTATAGCCTCCCTTATTATATTTTGAAAAAAAACCCCCAAACTTATTTCGTCTTTGCATTCTGTGAAGTTCATCTCAATTTAATCATGAATGTGGACTTCAAAATGTCTAGAAATATTTAAAGCAGCAAATGATAACATCAGAAATAAGGAAGTCTGTTTGGGGTGAGAATCTGTACTCTGATATAAATGGGGTTCCATTCTCAACAGGTGGAGAAATGAGATCGGTATTTCAAGTTCAAATTAGAATCAATGGGATTGCATAACTTTGAAATTTTATTATCTAAAATATTTTCCAAACTTTATGCTCTAAAATTATTTAAATATACTTTAAAAAACCTCACTTGTGGATGTTATATATTTACAGACTAGAAAAATATTAAACATAAAAAAAATAGTCTAAACCCCTAGATTTTGAAGTAACCTGAAGATGGTTTCTAAAATGTTGCTTCCCTTTTTAAGTGACCATTATAAGAAAGTACTTAAAGTACACTTTAAATATTTTTAAATTGTTTACATCCTATATATCCCCTTGCTAGGCAGGATTTGTTGTTCAGTCAATAGGATATTTTCCAGTTATCTTAATCCTTTTCTAAATGGGATTTATGTGCAAGAGAAGAAATGGACCAGCTGTCATTTTGTCTGCCCCTTAAGCCTGATTCACCAATAAGAGTATCTATGGTGTTATAGGTTAGATCAGTGAATCTGAATAACTGTGTTGTCAGTCTGCAGGATTCTTGGAACGAGGTTTTTCCTGCCAGAAATATATCCAGAGGAAACTATCTACCTATTCTGCAAGTTTAAGGTGGGGGGGGTGGAGGGGGGAGAAAGAAAGAAAGGAAAAAAAAATAAATTTGTTAGCCTGTGTTTCTGTAACTGACAACTATGTATTTTTCTTTTGGTAGAGCAGATTCTCCGAGTTATGCAGAAAATGTTTGTTGTATCACCTGAGTCATACAGGTTGGGTTTTTTTGGCTTCACGTCTTCCTTTGTTCTTTTCCATTTTGTGCTGGTTACCTAATGTAGGAGTAATAATGAGAATCTAAAGCACAAGACGAAACAGTTGCATTATGGAGTCTTAAAGAAAAATGGGTGGAAATTTAGAAGCC